AACAAAAACGATCTAGCATATACAAATAAATCAAAAAAAAAAAAAAAAACATTGACTAAATAGTCTATAAATCATATCTATGAACACGTATATATTTATTTGTTATTATTATATATTAATATTAAAACGAGGAGGTAGAGATGAATAGAAGCGTGTGTCTCGTTGTCCTCCGTCGTTCTTCTTCGCTGGTGCCATTGCTTGTGAACAAAAGGAATAATTATAATGAGAAATATGTTTAAGGATTTTTCAAAGGGTTTTTCAAAGTGGTGTAATTTGGAATTTTTGATTTGTCTGTTATTATTATTATTTGGGTGTACCTTGAAGGGTAATTTGGAAAAAAACATAGGGTTTACTGACAGTAAATTATAATCCTAAATAATTTAATGGGGTGTATTAAGAAATTGGGCATACTTAATGATTTTTTTGGTGCAAATAGAATTCCTCCCATCTGTACCCAAGATCCTAGCATCACAATTCCATCAGTAGATTTGTTCCGTCCAAAATTGGAATGGGCTAGGGTTATGAAATAAAAATTGGATTCATATAACATGAGAAAGAATTCCCATTCCTTCGTAGGAAAGATATGTAGCCATGAAAGAGGGATTAAGTGAAACAGTGATCAACATTATTGTAACTAGAACTGTCACTCACTTCTGTGAAACTTTTTATCCTTATCATTTCCATTCAGATCTTCACTTTCACTAGCGTGGGCACTGCGCCTTTTGGGCCTGTTTCCCATGACAGATTTGACCCTCTAGAATGTGAATCAACAAGGTCTACATTTGGCAATAAATCGTTTTTCCCACAAATATCAGATTCCATTTTATTATTTATCAAGGGACTATGGAAATCCAAATGACTAAATCGAATACCCAAACTTGCCAAATACAGACCGATTCACAAAAAGTAAGAGTCGCCACCCAATTTTTAATGGGGAAACTAAGAAGCCCCAACTCTATGTTAATTTAGGCCATTGGTCCATCACTATAAAAAATCTTGATTTGGGAATCTGGGTACCAGAGAGGAAGATCATTAATTGAGCACTCCCCTCGCCCAATCCAAAGGATTGGCCTCTACTAATTCCTTTTAGAGATTTATTTCCATATTAAATTCTTTTTTTTTTTAATTCACCTATGTGATACATACATAAAATATAGACTACATCACATCTATTAGAAAGCTTCTATTCCCTTTTTTCTTTCTAACTCTAGGAGCATTTATAAGATTGACGGGTTTCTAAGAATCTGAGGATAGAAACCTACCAAAAATAAAGGCTTTGTTTGGTTACAATTTTCAGAAACTATTTTTAAACAAGCTTTCGTTTGTCTTGACTGAACTTTTTTCATATTTTAATGAATTTTTATTTTTTATTTTGTAGATACATCAAGATTAGATGCATCTAAAAAGTAAAAAATTTAACTACGTTATGAAAAAAATTCACTAAAAACAAACAACCCGAACAAAAATGCACATAGATTTTTGCTCAAATTTTCATCAATTTTTATTGATTTGGTTGTAAGTTTTGTCAAATTTCAAAGTTTGATTCCTTATTCTTAGATTCAAGCCAAGTTCTGATGTTTTGATTTAGAAAACAACTTCATTTTCATGTTTCCCATTAAATTTGCATGAATTATGTTGAGTTTTCATGAACCCTAGCTCAAGGAAAAGGAAGGAGAAAAGCTGAAAATGCAGAATTTTCGAACAACTCAGACTTTTCCAAAACCGCACGTGCGGCCTGTTTCACCAGATTTCAACTCCAAGACTGCATAAAAGGCACGTGCGGCCCGCACATGCCCTGACCAATCCGCACGTGCGGTTTTGGTCCCGCACATGCAGAATTCCCCTGTTTCGCATGGAGTTTTGTTTTGGTATCCTCTTTCACTTGGGACACTTTTTGTATGCATTTGACACTTAGTTAAAGCTTGAACTAGACCTAGAACAATGCTAAACATTTAGAAAAGTTTAAGAAAACATTAAGCAACGTTTATGTATTCAGTTTGTTAAAGCTTATTCGAATTAGGTTTGTACTTCAATGTTATGTTATTATTTGATGTAGGTCAAGCTTTGGAAGAAGGAAACCTCTTGTTTGACCGAGCCATTTCTAAGTGGTGATTTAGTAACGCTACGTTAAATCAAATATGTTTTGAATGCAAACCTCATTATGTTTATAAACTTTGTTATGTTTTGCTATGAATGAACATTCTATATTATTTTATCATGTATTTAGATGACATTCATGGATCAGGCCCACAACTGGGGGAATATCCAATCATATATGATGGCCGAGCTCACTTTCTTTACGTTTAGCCGATACCCGGGCCAGTTAAGCACCTTGTAATCCTTGAAATGCTCATCACTATGTATTTTGTTTGCAAATCAAGCCATGTTTTATCTTGTACTAGTTAATATGTTATTTTGAAGGAATGTTTAAAGCTTTCAATGTTTATTCATTTACCGCCTTATTTTATTACTATTCACTGCGCAATGGCTCACCCCTCCCCCTTATATGTATGTAGGTGAACACGAAGAACAAGGACACGAGGAAAAGTCACACTAGAACCCTTTTTTCTTTTATTTTGTTCTTTTGAAAGTTGTAACCTTGAGACGAGTTTTGTTTATATGTTTTGATTTTTGTAAGGACATCTTTTGATGTTGTACGCTTTTCTTTTTGTTTAAGCTTGTAAATATCAAGATAAGTAAATAAGAGGTTCGCTTGTTTTGTTTGATTCTTACTTATGCACTTTGATTAATATAATGAGCAGGTTAGGTTATTCCGCATAAGCCCCGAGGTTATAGTTCAGTCTTGTCTTGTCTTGCCAGGCCTTTTGTAGTTAGATACCAGCTGGTCATAGCTGCTATCCTGTTTGGGACGGGATGGCATTTGACCAATTCTAAGTTAAATTTTGAAAATGAAGAACTGATTTGATTAAAAACCGGAACCCAAAATCGATCGAACATGTGAACTAATTGACCACTCTCAGCTAAGGTCGAGAACAATTTTGGATTTAAAATCGAGAAATGGTAACCCACTAAGTCCATTGGTTGTTCAAGAGTATCTATTGCATTGCATTGGTAACCATTTCATCATTAGGAAGCACCCGGTATACGAAAGTTTTATGGCCGATCAAAATGGTATCTACAACTAGTATTTTAGGACCAAGACTCTCCATTGATTTACTTAAACCATCACTTCTAATTACATTGAATAAAAAAATTTAAAAATTGTGTTTTATCTATTGTTCTTATTTGGAAAACAAAGAAGGGCCTTTCAAATATACTCATTTTCAAGATCAGGGCTAGCTATAAACCACTCAGCCATCTCTCTGAGAGACAATTTGATTTTATTTCTACAAATAGAATATGAATTAATATAAATAGAGTATATAAGAGAGGATCCAGAGCTGGTAGCGGGAATCGAACCCGCATCTTTAGCTAGGAAGGCTAGGATTTATAGTCGACATATAAGTGGATGCCACCACTATCAGTAGAAAGCTATCAGGTGTGAACAGAATAAATCTGCTTCTCTTTGTTCTATGAACATAATTGCTCCATTATTATCAACAAAATAGACACAAAGGCCCTGTTTGGTAGGGCTTATTTCCAGCTTATTTCAGCTTTTAGCTTAATTTAAGCTATTTTGATGTGCTTGGTTCAGCTTAATAATACAGCTTATAGCTTTTTGTAAGTCAAAAATCAACTTATTCTTTTAGTGGGGAGGGGGGGGGAGAAGCTTAATTTATAAGTCAAAAATCAGCTTATGTTCACAATTATAAGCTATAAGTTGTTAGGCTATAAGTTATAATCACTTTCCCACAGCTCTACCAAACGGGGCCAAACAAGGTTTCAGTGTTCAAACCTTTAGCAAAGGAATTATACAACAAAATAGACACAAACAAGATGTGTTCTATCAGAATAAAAGGTGTGATATGCTTGCTTAGTAAACTAGCATTTGCACAAATAAAAATAGCAACTAACACTCAGATATAAACATTTTATTAGATGATAAAAATAACTGAACATTAGTAGGAATATCACTTGCAATCTTTTAGAAATTGATCCCAAGATTCACAATGTCTAATACATGCAACTCCTCTTCAAACAAACTACAAACTTAAGTTTTCAAAAGCATTCATCTGGCTAGATCCAAGTAGTTGTGCTATGACTTCATTGAGTTCAATTAATTGCATGGATAGTGTCAAGAATAGCTTGTAATTACGAAAAATACCCAATACTGCAAGAAGGAGTTCAATTAGGCTACATTTAGTATTTTGAGCCTAGCTAAGGCTTTGAAGTAGCCTTTCCACTTGTGACTAAGGTTGGAAACTACTATTGATTATTGAACTGAGGCTTAAAGAAAGTAAGTGTGAGAGATGGAAAGTGCAAGGAATGATATACGCAGGATGGGGGAAAAGTACTCTTTTTCCCTCCAATCGTGAAGACGAACAGGAAGGAATGGAAATTGGAGAAAGGGGTGTCTAATTTATTAGACATTCTGCCATCAAATATGGAATCACGGGTGTTGTTTGAAGGGGAAACTTCCAAAATGCTTGCTGTAGATTAATTTTCTCTCCCTCCCATCTTCATTTTCCATCCCCCTTTCTCCTACTAAATAAAGAAATTGTCTCCAAACCTCTTTTTCCCCTTCCCCATTGCCATTCTTCTTACCAAACAAAGGAACTTGTATAAGAATAGAAGTGCAACATGAGATAATCCATCAATGAAAAACTCATTTAACTTAGAAAGGCTCTAACTAGTAATAGTGGGGAGATTATAAATAATAATAAAATAAGAAAAATATAAAATTATCAATATTGCTCTGAAAAAGAGAGTAAATTTAGAAACATAGAAAAGAGGATTTTTTTTTTCCCTGACCCTGAACAACTGGGATATAACTTAAAGCCACAGACATGGTAACACATGCAAGAGCACATGCATGTACATATTTTATGGGCAGAAATACAATCAATGTATATGGGTGACACAACATATAAAAGTGTTACCTGTCAAAACAACTTGATGTGTAACATTAATCCCAACAGCCAAAACATCAGCACCGCTTGTGAATACAATATCTGCAGCATCTGGGTCGCCAAAAATCTGGTCATTTAATCCATGAACAAATGATGTGAAAAGAGAAAGTTGGCTGGAGCAAAACTGAAGGACATTCAATGACATTAATTCAAGTAAAGTGATGGAGAGAAGTCGTGCTTTCAGAGCTTGATAACCTATAAGTTTATTAATAGCTGAACTCTCTCTCATGCAAGATATGTGACCCAATAAAAGAAGCAATAAAACAAAATCTATAAAGGATTTTGAGTTATATGACAGGGACATGACTATTTCAACTTTATTTGTCGCTGTGACAAGTATTGCATGCTGGAGGCATTTGAGACATTATTAGTAACATACTTCTGGTTTCTGAAGTCACAGTCCCACACCATATCCACACACATTAACAATGAGCAACTTACATTGGTCTCCGCTGCTGGATTCACACTTCCATTTACTGCAAAAGCACCGCCAAGAACAACAATCTGCCCAATATTTTTCACAAATGCAGGATCTAATTGAATAGCCTGTATCAATCGATAAACGTGATAAGCAACCTTTTTTCCAATATTTTCGGTAAAATCGACAACTTAATAATCAATTTCTTTTTAATTCAAAGCCCATGGAAGAAGATCAAGAACCTGACCAATGCAATATTTGTAAGAGGGCCAAGGGCCACCACGGTGACTTTTCCAGGGTAAAGGTTAGCTTTCTGGACGAGGAAAGCAGCTGCTGACTGTTCAATTGGCTTTCCTTCTGGTGGGGGAAAGTTTTGGTTGCCAAGTCCATCAGCGCCATGTACAAAATCAGCCCTACGGAGTTTTGTACCTTTCTATATTTAACCAAACATAGACAAATCAATTTTATACTCTACTGCAGCATGTGACTTACTAGTGAAATTATGCATTAGATTCAGAGTTGGAACGAATAACTTTGAAAAAAATGAATAAAAAATGAACTATGTATCTTACATAAACAAATTAATTAGGTTCAAAGTACCAAGCACCTAAGAAATTGCGCCTAGAGGGGTAGTGAATAAGCCAATTTTTTTACAAATTAATGCCAAATTGGCAATTATGAAATTAACCAGGTTACTAATTGATTTCAAATCAATTCGAAACACAATTAACCAATAAATTAATCAACCCATCAATTTGGCAATTAATCAATCTAATCTGTCAATCTCATCGCATAAAGAGCAATCAACCACAAGACAACAAACCCTATAAATTTAAAATCCCACTTCTATAGGGAGAAAATCACGATCCAAACACCCACAATCAATCCGTGCTTCTTAGCTTTTAAGGGAAACATTAAAGGAATCAAGTTTTTTGAGGGGAAAAGGATCAGACTTAATCAAGTTTGATCAATGTGACCTTGCAAGTACTTGATAAGAGGTGCGGGCGTACAGAGAGAAGAAAAAGTTTAATGTTTGATAAAAGCAGCGATCCTAATAGGCATAATTGCATAGAATCAAGATGGAGTCAAATGGTGTTCACGTACAGTGATTGTGACATGAGATCCTTCAGCCACTGGGATGTCAGTCCTCCCTGCAACCTCCAACTAAATCATAAAAGACAGAGAGAGAGAATAATGTGAATTTCTAGAAATAACACGCGCACACACCAAAAAAAAAAAGGCTTTATCTTAGTTAATGTCTGATTGATTGAAACCATGTCATCAAAAAAAAATGTGAGGAGGGTTAAACAAATTACTCACCCAAAAAACAGTAAAAGAAAAGCTTAACCAGATCAATTTTCCTTGATTACTTTTTAAGTAAAATGCAATCTACACCCAAAAAACTAAAAGGAAAAGAAAGTAAGAAAGAAAGAAATACCAAATGCAAAGCATTTCTTGTAGCGAGTGTTGTACAGACATTTCCATATATGGTTGTGAGTCCAATCACTTCCACTTCTGGTGATCGCAATGCCACAAATATTGCCATGGCATCATCTGTATGCACAGGGTAACTTGTTTTGTTACAATATCAGACCCCCAAAAAATTAGGAAAAAAAAAGACTCTGGGTGTGGTTTGGGTTTTGAGATAAATTTTCAAAAAAAAAATTGGGAGAGACAGTTTAGAAATTTTTTTGGTTTATTTGGTTGTATATTTTAAAAATAATTTTGGAGTCTAGAATGATTTGATATTTCATTGTAATTTAGTAGACGTGTATTAAAGAAAAAAAAAAGGTAAATGGCCATGAGAGAAAAAATGATTGAGAAGTTGAGATGACAGAAAAAGGGTTCTGAATTTTTATTTTTTTTTAAATTTGAACCAAGCAAATGTAGTTGAGTAGATGAATGTATTCGCCCAAAAAAAAAAGAGAGAAAATGATTGAGAGGTAGAGATGAGAGACAAAAAGTATTGATTGATGTGTAGGAGAAAAAATGATTGAGAGGTAGAGATGAGAGATAAAAAGTATTGATTGATGTGTAGGAGAGAAAAAGTGATTTGAAATTTTTTTTCAAAACATTTAAACAAAACAAAATTTTAAAAAAAATTTAGGCAAATTAGATATATCGCCCTCGAGGTTTAGTTAAATTACAGATACCCATGAGGTTTGAGGTTTAAAGGGATATCTGAAATTTCTCAAACCTCAAGATATCTGTAATTTAGCTAAACCTGGAGGGGTATATGTAATTTGCCCAAAATATTTTCAAAAATTATGGGTGTGTTTGGTTTGATTTTGGAAGATAAATTTTTTTTAAAAAAAATTGGGAAAAGAGTTTAGAAATTTTTTTAGTTTGTTTGGTTGTATATTTTGGAAATAGTTTTGGAGTAGGGTAGTTTGGAATTATTTGATATTTTATTGTAATTGAGTAGATATGTGTGAGAGAAAAAGTGATTGAGAAAGAGAGAGGAGAGCGAAAAATCGATCGATTGACATGTAGGAGATAGAAAGTGATTTTGGAAAAAAAAATTCAAAATACTAAACCAAGCAAAATTTTAAAAAAATTTCTCCAAAATTTGTTTCTCAAAAACAAACCAAACAAGGCTTATATCTTGATATACAATCCAAAAAAACCCTAATTTTTTGAATCCTCCGGCCCACTCAATTGTTTGAAAACAGAAACTTTAGTGCAGAAATGTTAGAATCTCATGGGTTTTTGATGATTTTTACGGTGGGGTTACGATCAGTTAATTTGCAGTGTTTTGTGGGTAACCAGCAAGCATAACAAATAAGTAATTGAGGAACCAAATATGATTTTAGCATTTGACAGTATCAGATCAAGCCACAGATCCTTGTAAAAATAATTATTATGTATTTGATGAATGATATGAATTAGAGAGAGAGAGAGAGAGAGAGAGAGAGAGTATGATGACCGATGCCAGGGTCGGTGTCGATGATGATCTTCTTTGGTGGTTGTAGTGTCGTTTCCATCTCAATTTAGCTCCGCCGCAACCCAAATTAAACACACTCAACCCCCAAATCCCAACTCCGGATCCTCTCTCCACAAGTTTTCTATAGATATACTCTGCAATGGAACGCCTGCTATTCAACCACATCAACTAAATAATAAAACCAACACTTCCGTTCTATTATGAAAAATGATGCGGACTAGTGGTTGTACTAGTGTGTTTTGTGTTTTAATTTTCAACAATGACAGAGAACACTAATTTTGGAGCTCTAAAAAGATCACTAATGACATGGTACTCAATAAAAAAGAAAAAAAAATACAACACCAAGGTCAGAACATCAAATCATTCATGGTGGGACCCACTGTCACATCATTAGTGGTAGCACTAATTAGCGTTCTCACTCATTTTCCTTTAATTTTTGTTTTTTTTTCTTTTTTAAACTCGCCGCATCATTGGTGATGGTATTAGTGGTAAAAATTTAGTGAGCTATAACATTATTATTTTATTAATTAATTATCAATTAAATTTTATAAGTGGTATTTAAAATCGCTCTGGTTCACTGCACTTAATAAAATATCAAAATAAAATTTTAATGTGTGAGAAAGATTTAAAATATAAAATATGTAACAAATTAATAGTTATATATATATAAAATATTAAGTAAATTAATATTATATATTATATAGATGATTAATAATTGGTTAAAATATTTTTTAATCTGTCAATTCGTTCAAATTGTAATTTTGTTAATCCATCATTTAATTTAGGAGTTTTTTTTTTTAAAGATCTCTAGTATTAAGATTTTATAGCATAAAGGACACTCGATATTTTCTTAATGTTTAAGGTCCCTCAATATCAATCTACAGAAAATTCGATAAATCTCATCTAAAGTGCGGGATAAATTTCGACATGATATAGATGCTCATGTTGATACAGTTCGTGCTGCCAAGCTGTCTGAACTTACAAACCCAGCATGAGGTATTTTAATCTATAAACTTTGGATTGCTTAGTTCATCCAAAAAGTATCCTTTTATGGTGACAAATTTTGAGTCAAAATAGGAATAAACATCAATATGATCCCATACACGGTGGTTATGTGATCACTTATCATTACTTGCTAATTGTTTTGATCAACTGTAGTCAAGTGCAGTTATACATGCAAATGGCAAAACTGGATATATCTAGGGATTTTAAAAACTTTATAGAATCTTGTCTCTTTATTAGTCGGTCTTCTTTGTAAGGAACTTACATATAATACTAAAAATTTGCAGAAAAAATTGAACGAGGCATTATTAGGACCTGTGGATGCTCTTTTAGACGGAGCTGGTGATGATACTTGGCCAGTAATATGGAAACTTCTTCGCCATGAGACAGAATCAGCTATCTTTGGATTATCTGCAGCACTTTCTTCTTTTGACATGAATGAACAAACCAAGGATAAGAAGGACAAGTAGTTGGGTCGTTGTTGCATTTGAGATTTAAATTTCTTGCAATAGCTCGATTCAATTGTTTCAACCTATAAGTTACTGAAACTGACTGTAAAATTACCCACAGATTTTCAACAATATTTAGCCATGATTCTGATTCGACGGCGTGGTAGAGATAGAAGCGAAGGTGAAGATCGGAATGTGCACAAAGAGAGAGAGTTTGGTTTGAATAGAATGAAGATCGGAGAGAGAGAGAGAGAGAGTCAAATTTCTCTGATATGATATATGGGTGTGAGTTAGGAATTTTAGATATCAAAAAATAATATTGTGGATATCTTCCATTACTAAAAATAGTAGAAGAACCTTAGATTAATTCTATTTAATCTATAATTCTATTTTAAACCGTTCGAATTATACCGCCTACAATCCCAACCAAGACAAGGATCCAGCCTATCATTTAAGTGTACTTTTTACCACATAGTAATACAAATTAATCAGTTTGGGGTTGTTTGGGATGTCCTAAATAAGTACACTTTTTAACTTTTTGAACTAAAAAATTGAGGAAAAAAATATGATTGCTTATGTTAACTTTTTGACTTTTATGGAAAAATGTATATTAAAATTGGTATAAATTAGTGTGTAGGAAAATATTAGGAGGGTGAATTGTACAACCGTACTATATGCGCAGCGGAAGTGATGCTAAGAAATGATTGGCTACTTTTCGGGCATTTGCACTGACCGTGGGGCCATCACGAGTCCCGTTTTGACAATCTGAATTGTTCAATATGTAGAACTCGTCGAGTACTATATGCCTGTAAAAAATCACGTTGATCGGATATTGATAACTATTTGATCAGATTTTTTTTTTTTCAACCGTTAACTATAACACCATCTATTTTTTTATACAAAACTAATTTGATCATATAGTTAGCGATATCCGATTAATGTGATTTTTTATAGACATATAGTACTCGATGAGTTCTATACATTGAATGGTTCAGATTATCAAAACAGGACCCGTGATAGACTCTCACGAGTCGAACAACAGTGTGTTCAAATTGCACCCAACTGTGTAATTTTTCTTAAAAAACGCAACCACAAATCTGAACCGGTCAGATCTGTCTTGTAATTTTGTATGTAAAATTAAATTTTTAATATATTTTTTGGTAAATAGTGACAACTTTTTGACTTTTTTTTTAACATACCAAACTAGACCATTTAAAATCGCTCCGGTTCACTGCACTTAATAAAATATCAAAATAAAATTTTAATGTGTGAGAAAGATTTAAAATATAAAATATGTAACAAATTAATAGTTATATATATATAAAATATTAAGTAAATTAATATTATATATTATATAGATGATTAATAATTGGTTAAAATATTTTTTAATCTGTCAATTCGTTCAAATTGTAATTTGTTAATCCATCATTTAATTCAGGAGATTTTTTTTTTAAAGATTTCTAGTATTAAGATTTTATAGTATAAAAGACACTCGATATTTTCTTAATATTTAAGGTCCCTCAATATCAATCTAGAGAAAATTCGATAAATTTCATCTAAAGTGCGCGATAAATTTAGACATGATATAGATGCTCATGTTGATACAGTTCGTGCTGCCAAGCTGTCTGAACTTACAAACCCAGTATGAGGTATTTTAATCTATAAACTTTGGATTGCTTAGTTCATCCAAAAAGTGTCCTTTTATGGTGACAAATTTTGAGTCAAAATAGGAACAAACATCAATATGATCCCATACACGGTGGTTATGTGATCACTAATCATTACTTGCTAATTGTTTTGATCAACTGTAGTCAAGTGCAGTTATACATGCAAATGGAAAAACTGGATATATCTAGGAATTTCAAAAACTTTATATAATCTTGTCTCTTTATTAGTCGATCTTCTTTGTAAGGAACTTACATATAATACTAAAAATTTGCAGAAAAAATTGAACGAGGCATTATTAGGACCTGTGGATGCTCTTTTAGACGGAGCTGGTGATGATACTTAGCCAGTAATATGGAAACTTCTTCGCCGTGAGACAGAATCAGCTATCTTTGGATTATCTGCAGCACTTTCTTCTTTTGACATGAATGAACAAACCAAGGATAAGAAGGACAAGTAGTTGGGTCGTTGTTGCATTTGAGATTTAAATTTCTTGCAATAGCTCGATTCAATTGTTTCAACCTATAAGTTACTGAAACTAACTGTAAAATTACCCACAGATTTTCAACAATATTTAGCCATGATTCTGATTCGACGGCATGGTAGAGATAGAGGCGAAGGTGAAGATCGGAATGTGCACAAAGAGAGAGAGTTTGGTTTGAATAGAACGAAGATCGAAAAGAGAGAGAGAGAGAGAGAGAGAGAGAGTCAAATTTCTCTGATATGATATATGGGTGTGAGTTTAGGAATCTTAGATATCAAAAAATAATATTTGGATATCTTCCATTACTAAAAATAGTAGAAGAACCTTAGATTAATTCTATTTAATTTATAATTCTATTTTAAGCCGTTCGAATTATACCGCCTACAATCCCAACCAAGACAAGGATCCAGCCTATCATTTAAGTGTACTTTTTACCACGTAGTAATACAAATTAATCAGTTTGGGGTTGTTTGGGATGTCCTAAATAAGTACACTTTTTTAACTTTTTGGACTAAAAAATTGAGGAAAAAAATATGGTTGTTTATGTTAACTTTTTGACTTTTATGGAAAAATGTATATTAAAATTTGCATAAATTAGTGGATAGGAAAATATTAGGAGGGTGAGTTGTACAACCGTACTATATGCGCAGTGGAAGTGATGCTAAGAAATGATTGGCTACTTTTCGGGCATTTGCACTGATGGTGTTGTTCGGCCCGTGGGGGCCATCACGAGTCCCGTTTTGACAATCTGAATTGTTCAATATGTAGAACTCGTCGAGTACTATATGCTTGTAAAAAATCACGTTGATCGGATATCGATAACTATTTGATCAGATTTTTTTTTTTTCAACCGTTAACTATAACACCATCTATTTTTTTATACAAAACTGATTTGTTCATATAGTTAGCGATATTCGATTAATGTGATTTTTCATAGACATATAGTACTCGATGAGTTCTACACATTGAATAGTTCAGATTATCAAAACAGGACCCGTGATAGACTCTCACAGGCCGAACAACAGTGTGTTAAAATTGCATCCAACTGTGTAATTTTTCTTAAAAAACGCAACCACAGATCTGAACCGGTCAGATCTGTCTTATAATTTTGTATGTAAAATTAAATTTTTAATATATTTTTTGGTAAATAGTGACAACTTTTTGACTTTTTTTTTAACATACCAAACTAGACCTAAATATATCTATTTATCTATCTATTCCTTCTCTCTTCATACTGTCAACTGAATCCTTAGGCAATTGAAGTAATGGTTTTAGTTGCAAAAGTTCCAAAATTTTCTTATCTAATAAAACTCAATTGTTTCTCATAAGTTTACTTTGGCAGAGGCCCCCACAAAATCAACATCAGAAAATATAAAATATATATATATAGACTCCCATGAGTATAATAAAAGTTTAAAAATTTTGGTAAAAAGATGTACCAATTTGGTATAAATTTGTCATATGAACACTTTTTTATTATTATTATTATTATTATTATTATTATAAATAAAAGTTCACATTGAAAAGAGCTTCATAAATTTTAAAAAACTTATAATATATAATTAAAAAAAAGCTCACTTTAAAAGAACTTCCACCAATTTAAAATAGGTTCTACCAACATTTCTTAGTTTTCGTTTTGAATTTATAAGTTCTATTTATTTGATAACTTTTGACACTTTTAATTTCTTCTTTTTTCATAGCTAAATGCTTTAAATATTCTCAAATTTTAGTTATGAGAATCGAAGAGACATGAATTTTACATCATATAATTTACTAAAAATAATAAATATTATTTACATTTAAGTTTAAAATATAAAAAGCCTCGCAATAAAATTTTGCTTTAGGCCTTGTGGTAGTGAAGAAGACTATTACCACTTAAGTGACACATAATATATAATAAATATTTTATTTTATTTTTAATTATTTGAATTGTATAGACATTACGTGTGCCAACCACTAATTTATTTTTAGAATATCTAATATAGATAATTGCTACTAAACAAAGTACTTTTGTGATCATCACAAACCGTCACAAATAATAAAAATGTAGTCATAAAAGACCGTTTGCGATGGCCATGCGACCACAAATGGGGGACGCAAATGTGAGGTGACAAATACTTTTTTGCACGGGTTGAGCCGTAGTTACAAATTATTTATGACTACCTAAATGACTTTTTGTGACAACTATTTTGTCGTCACAAAAAAAAAAAAAAAAAAACTTTTAGCACTTTTAGCAAACATTTGTTTACCATTGCAAATAATTATTTATTATAAAAAAAAAATCATATGCATTTGCTACAAAAAATAAAATCAATTGCAAGCACTTACCAATTTTTTTAATGAAAAACAACAAAAATAACAAATTAATTTGAACTTATAACAAAAATATTAACCTATATTCACACACACACATATAGTGTGCAAACAAAATATAAACTTTCATATATGTAAAACAAATATCCATTAACCATTCTTAAAATACATCATACTAAAAAATTTAAGTCCTCAAAAAAAAAAAGAGCAACATAATCTCAATTTGGCTCCAAACATCACCTACTCGATCATATCAACTACTCCCACAACAAAACCTGCAAACACATATCAAACTTGACTTGAAAATTTAATGCACTTCAATGTGTTAGTTTAACTTGAAATAATCAAAATAAAACTGAGCTTGAAACAGATTCCCAAGAAACAAGGCAGCTGATCTCAGATGGTGCTGCCAGTTCTTGTCCTTACAGAGCCTTGATTGAGGATGCCAACTTCCTCCTGAGAAGATGCAAATGCAGAATTTCTTACATCCCAAGAGAAGCCAACAAATGCGCTGATGCTCTCGCCAACATAGGAGCCAGCCAATCTGAGCATTTTGTTTTCTTAGATGAGCCACCCAATGCTCTTCATTCTGCACTAGTAGCAGACATGGTGGCTGCTAGTTCTAGGAGGGACTGAGTTCCCTTTGTTGTTAAGTCTGTTCTAAACTCTTTCTGTTTAACCTTCATTTGAATAAAAAAAAAAAAAATCAAAATAAAACTATTTCAAAAGAAATTGTCAAAAGACAAAAAAAAAGTCAGCTCTAAATTCTTTTGCTTGGAGTAAATTACAAAAATATAGATGCCAATTCATAATTTGCACAAATAAATAGACAAGAAAATGGTCACCCAATCCAATCAGATTAATGAATAAACCAAAGAAATTGAAAAATGAACATAATCTCTGTCCTAGCATAGGTTAAACCAGAAGGAAGCAACAAGAAGAAATTTGACTTCACTATTTAGAAGTTCATTGCCACTACCTAGTGATACCGAGTTACAGAATTCACTATGTAATTCAAGAATTAGCAATGAAGAATTTGGGAAATAAACTCAGTCAATCAATAACAAAGAATTACAAAAGTCATTTGCATCACTGCAAATAGATGATTACACCAGCCTTCTCAAATCAAGTAGCCCATTAGTAGATTGAATTGCTAGATTATCCAATCTGAAAGTTTTGCCTCCAAGCACATTTGGCCAAGAGCATTTAAACAGTTCCTTGCTGTCTGTGATATTTATTGTTATGTGATGCATTCGATCTAGAGTCATAAACTTCCAAAAACATGTATACAAATATGATCAATTGTATATGAAAAATGTTAAAGATCCCAAAATTTCGACATGGGTCCCAAATTTATGTGAGACATTTGGTAGAAATTTTGGAGTCTCTAGCATTACTCATTGTATATTTCTACAAATGGATCACATTAAGAAAGAAAGGGAAATCACGTATGATGTACCATCCATAGATTAAGCAATATTCCTAGTTCTTATGCACAAAAGATTCTCTCTCTCTCGCTCTCGCTCTCTCTCTCTCTCTCTCTCTCTCTCACACACACACACACACCACTGGAAATTGATTAAAAGCCATACCTAAGAAGGCTTCCTGCTCAGCTTCATCGTGGACCTCAAAATGTGATTTGCCAGATTCAGCAGCCTTCAATTCTCCATTGCCATTCTAATAATTCAAAAAAAAAATAATAATAATAAATAAAAAATGTAGGAAAAAACCGAGAATCAAAATAAGCACAAAACTTGGTGAAAAACTTAATAGCATTCAGGAAGTGAAATTAAGCAACAAGCTAGACAATGATGATATAAAACAGTGACAAAAATGTTACGAGTTTGCTGTTAAACTCTTCCATTGCTTTCTCATATCTGCCTTCTTCTTCATAGGCTTTGCCACCTAAGGAGCTTTCTCCAATATGCAACAAGAAAATAGCAGTTAGTGAGCATATGATTCAAAAAACACAAAACAAACAAAATAATTAATAAAACATAAAAATAAAATCAGTTCTAAGGATGTAATATCAACCAAAAAAATAAACTACAACACTTTCAACAGAAATGGACTAATCAGCTAAACGTGGAGTACCTCAATATGGATTACTGTGATTCAAAACAGTTAACATAATAATTTTGAGCACAACTTTCAAAATTCATTTTGGTTGTTGCTCGCAAGTGAAAGTAGATCTTCCAGATTTAGAAATTGCTTTCCATTTCACTCCACCAGCTTTCCCAACCTGAAACTCATATAACTCATAATAAAGGAGAGTAGACTTCCGTTTGGTTGCCAAGAAATTATAGGAAAACAGTTACAATTCCTAATTGTTTGACGAAATGCATCTCTTGGAACTAAACTTCAAAGTACTGAGCCAAACAAAACAACCAAGTCTAGATTAAGTTTACAGACTTTCAAAACCAAAACATTAACAAAGCACAATTAGATTTAAAATATATGCATCTTCCTAAATTATGTTTTGAATGATTCTTAGTTTACTATAAATATCAAAACAGATAAGATAACAAACTATTATTTTCCATTCAATCAAAGTCAAGTTCTGAAGTTAATTTTTTTATTTGTTTTATAGGATACTATTTCCCATTCAAACAAAGTCAGAATGTGAGTTGTTCTCATTGTGCACAAGCATGAACTTAGAAAATTTATATATATATATAAATCACTACCAGACTAAGCTGAAGTTTAAAAAAAAAAAAAAGGACTACAAACAAGGGAAATGCTACGTCAATACCAGAAACTTCAGAATTAGTGGTGTTTCAAAAGTGCCACAATAGACCAGAAAAACACTGTTAAAAGTTCAGATGATGTTTATAACATTCGCCGCGGATATGGGCATCATCTTACCTTCATGGTGTTTTAAAAAATGCCATTAGTCTTACCACATATCCACCTAAGCATTCTCATCTCATCTACACTCAATTTCTACACGCGTTGTTTCTTAGCTATCCAACATTTTGTAATCCCAGGAGGTCACCTATCTTAGTACAATTTTCGTCCAAGGATGCTTAACTACTGTCGTATATTCATATATGAGTTTAAATTACATTTACTTGTCAACACCCTAGACACTTGCAGATATATGCACACCAAACATTTTCATCCATTAATGCTTCCAATATAACTAGACTTCTAATGTAATTTGCCGACAAGGAATTCCTAAGTCACCAAGCCCAAAACCTAAAGAAATGACTAAGCAATTTTACAGTAACTTCTTTGAACAACAATGCTACACTTATCTCACATGTAAGACTGAACATTCAATGAAAAACTAGAAAGTAACAAACTCAAAAAGGCATAATGTAGAAGGGAATCATAAAGTTACCACGCCAACATGAATGCAACTGAATAGCAGCTTTACGTATTGAAATGAACTCCTTGCGAGCAATGTAAGTATGAATTTGCCTTTGAATTTTGTTGGCCGCATTTCCAAGAACCTCAGCTAGTCGCATCCACCTCAGCCATCTGCCCAGCTCGCAGGAAGACCTTTGTCTTGCCTATCTGCCAAGCCAAGCTCATGTCACAATATGAAATAGAAGTTCTCAGATCCCATTTGTAAAATTGCATCACATCAAAGTGATTTTAAATAGACAGTTAAGCAAAACACAATAGTAAGAAAAAGCTAAAAAATTGAGTAAATTTTGTATCATCACCCAAAAACCCCAAACAGAAAGGAAAATAAACATTTTAAACATAAGCCTAAACATTCTGCAACTACTTGAAGGTGGCAGAAGTTGAAAGTCACTTTGGACATCAACTGAAAATGCCAGCATAAATAGCATGATCAGGACAATAAATTCAATGAAACATCATGATTACCTGATGACCTTTCAAGCCCACTTTATCCAGAATCATCTGGCATGCAACCTTGTCATCATAGCTGCACCAAAAGTAATCAAAGTTCAACAAAAAGAACAAATGAAGAGGAACAAGAATAAGAGCAAGGCATCAAGAAAGAAATACAGAAGAACAAATCATGGGGCATGCCATAATTAATCAACTTATACAATAGGTAGCTGAATTTTTTTTGAAAGCAGATCCATACTGATCCTTAAATTAAACACTAGAAAACAAGAGAATACAAGTGAAACCTACTTTCCATGCAAAACTTCTGGAGAAAGAACACCAAAATGGAGGAGAAACTCATAGAACATTCGTCTAGTGGGGAACCCTGCACAGCTAATTCTGATTGCCTCAAGAGCACCCTACAGCACAAAGGAATGACCAAGACATAATTAATACCAAAAAATGAACCATTAGCCCTAGGTTTAATTTTCCAGGTTAGATAATATGAATATAATACAATATGAGGTATGTGGTTTGCCAGAATATACTTACACCACAACGTATTTCCAGCATGTCTGTGAAGAGGATGGAAGAGAAATCACAATATTAGCTAGTCTTAAGTTTAATCCCACACTATATACTTACATAACATAAATAAAAAGAAAATCAGATTCCCACATAAATTTCATTAAGTTAAGACGACATTTGTTTAAAATCGCTTCTATTTTATTTCTATTTTCCATTTATTTTTTTCTTTGGACTCCATAAATTCAAGATTCTAACACAACCTCACAGTTTCTTTATTTCTTTTGACTTTATAAATTCAAGATTCAAACACAACCTCATGGTTACTGAATAGACATACATTATTGGTCCAACAAGAAATTGAGTAAGACATGAAATGGTTAGACATTTTAATTTACAAGAGGAAAACCAAAGTTTGGGAAATTTTAATTTACAAAAGCAGCTATAGTACTTCACAACCCAGCTGGAAACCCTTCTAAGTGGAAAATGAAAAGCACATTTGATGTTACCAAAAAGAATAATTAGACAAACAAGCTTTTGATCACTACCAAAATCCCTTGCCAATACATCACTATTTTAGATTTAGATCTGAGTTGTAGTTAACCTTCCTCGGTAATGATTAGGCACTACCACAGAGTTTCGTCAGTGCCAGCACCATCCTCTGATGGGGATCCTGTATTTTCTAGCACTTGTTATTCAAGTCCCCCCAAAAAAATATAGACATTCTCTTTAAGTACAACTAGCCTATCACCCATGCTATGCACGGGATAATTGTAGATATTAATATTTGTGTTAGATTTTTTTTAATATATAAATTATGTTTTTTAAGATTTTTTATAAAAATAATTTAACAATCTTATCACTAACCATAGTGTATGGGAGAAGTTAAAAAGGGTACTGCAGTAACTATACATGGGTTGTATCTATAATTATTTGTATGAGGGATTTTAAATGCTGATCAGGTGATTTTGACCAAATCAATAAATGCAGGCATGTGGAAAGACATGTAGATTGAAAAAAATTAATAAATGCTGATTAGGGAATTTTGACCAAATCAATAAATGCTGAGTTTTTTTTTTTTTTTAATAAAAAATTTAGAAAATTCAGACTGGGATATTGGAGCTCCCACAGGCCTTGGGGGTTAAAAAGTTACGCACCGTTACGTAACGGTTCCAAACTGTTTCTTTCGAAAAAAACACACAAAAATGGCTAAAAATGAGAGAAAAGGGAAGATAAAGAGAGAAAATGGAGGAGCAAGAGATAGAAAGAGAGAAAAGGGAAAATTAATAACATGTTATTGATTTGTTGAAGCTGCTTCACCTATGCTATTTTATTCAGCTGCTATCACTAAACCATTTTGTTTGTGTGCGTCTCTCTATATGTTGTTTGAAAATAATAATAATAATAATAAGTGTGGTTATTATCTATTTGGCTTGGTTAAAATATGTATATATATATATATATATTTAGTCTCTTATTTATTCCCTTACTTTTGTCATTATTTATCTTTTATATAATTGTTAGTGATTGATTTTTTGTATAATATAAAATCATTAATTATTAAAATAAAATGTAAAAAACTCAGTTTATAGCGATTTAAAAATATGAAATATATTCGATCATACTTAAAAATTTACCAAAATTTATCAATATTTATTTTTAACCCAATAAATATAATCATGGACAAAAAAATATGCGTATTGATAAGTTTTTTTCAAATTGTGCGAAAAATAAAAAAATTCACAGTTCCGGTAACCGCAACCGTTGCACTGCGGCCTTTACACCCCGCAACCGCAACCGCGTCACCGCCACCGTTACGGCGACCGCAACCGCTTTTTAGAACCTTGACTGCATATTTTTCTTTAATGCTGTGTTTGGTTGGGGGATTCGGAGACGGATTTGGAAAAGGAAAGGGAAAATGTGTGTGAAACTAGATGAAATGTGGATATATTTTATTCACATTTCACCTATCTTTTCCATTTCCCTTTCTAAATCCATCCTCAAATCCCCAACCAAACACAGCATAAAAGGACTTTGAAGCCATTATCACTCATCAATTGACTTCATAAAAAGTTTATTCATTTCACAACACATGGTAATCAAACAGCATATTCGTACAATTTGATCAGGTGTATAAGAGACCTCATTCTACTCTGCCAATCAAATCACACTAAAAACAAAACCCTACAATTGACATCTTTATTGGATATTCAAAACACAAATAAAAAATCCTAATTAGAAATCCAAAACACAAAACAAAGCACTAATTCAATAGAAACAATAAACAATTCATCGTAACCAAATAGAGGCCTAATTTATACTAGATTGAAGAAATTGAAGAAAAGAAACAGCAATGGAATGGCAAAAAACATAAAATTAAATAAAGTGATAAATATATTTAGAGAGAGAGATCCTTGACCTTAGCTAAATAGCTTAAATTGAAGGATACACGCATCAATGAACTAAGTAGAGAACATAAGATTAAATGAAAAATACAAATTAGAGTGAGTAAAGAATCATAGACATAAACAGAGTCTACATACATAAAACCACAGAAATATGAAAATGTGTATGTGTATGTGTGTATATAGAGAGATCTATGCTAACCTCTTGTAAAAGCTGAGCTTGGCGATAAATGTCTTCAACCGAAGTACACCCAGAGCTGCCACTATCACTATGATTGCTCAATGGATCTCTGATTTCCACTTCGGGAGGCTCCGGTCTCACATCAGACGAAGGGTCTGAACCAGAGACTCCACGGCAGCAGAAGAGGCAGCAGATTTGGACAAAGAAGAAGAATCGGCGGTGGCAGTGGCAGTGGCGGTGGAGGTAGATTTGGTGTCATCATTGTCGAGGCGAGACTCATGAGGCGGTGGAGGAGGAGGAGGAGGACGAGCGCTGGACCAAAGAGAGCTGCTGAGACATTCAGGGACTCACTTCTTCACCATCTCAATCTTAGAGAGAGCTTTGGTGGCGATCGAAGGTGGAGACGGTGGTGACGCAATTGGAGGCAGAGAGAGATGAGGGAGAGAGAGCAGAATTGAGGAGGTGGCTAGGGTTGAAATGGTGGCTAGGGTTGAAATGGTTGGAAGAAATAAGGACTAGCGTGAAACCAAATCATAATAAATAAACTTCACCCATCGCTAATGTGTGACTGGCAACCTATCTTTTTGCAACTGCCCTATCTTTTTGCAACCGCAAAATTGCTGTCATTAAAACACGTGCAGTCGTTAATGTGTATGTATTATTTGCAACTGCAAACTAGCTGATGCAAAAAAAAAAAAAAGTGGAGCAAAATACCCTTTTTCTAGTAGTGTATCTCACTGTCACCAAAGAGCAACATATGCATGCATTACCAATTCATTAAGCTATAGAAACCATCAAATGAAAAAGATGCATAAACTAATCAAATGTACAGAATCAGGAATGAAGCAAGTAGAGTGAATCCAACTATAAAAAGCTGCCTCTTGAAACTTTCATTTCATTATCTCAACCTTTGGGGGCTAATACTATCCTCCCATCCCATTGATTGATTCCAAATAGTCAATTCAAATTTCAACATCTATCAGAATATAAGATTCCATTTTCCTTTATAGTTAAAACGATATTATCTGTTATCAACCCAAACCAAACCAGTCCTGTCAAAGCCAGAATGGTTCTCTTTTCCTTCCTTTTAATAGAGGGTTCTTCTCCTCTATTAAGTCTAAATCCTTCAAGTCTTTAAACCTCCAGGAAGAAAAACCTTGAAAAGTTGCTTCCATATTTTCTCTCTGAGCAAAGTAAAGACTCCAGTCCAGTCCTCTTTAGCAATCATTACCATTCTTCAATAGCTTTCAAGTTCTTACTTTATGCTCAGTTACAGCCTCTCCTGCTGTACTACTGCCTTCTTCAGCAGTAATCAAATTTGCTTCTCTTCACTTAACAGCGCCTCATTTTGGCTATTTCTTGTTACATTTGTCCACATTCAGTCCACATCAGCCATAACACCAATTCTCTGTTTGTGTAATACCACCTTTACATTCTCTCTTTGACAAGTGATCCTCTTTTACGTTTGTGCAGCAAAATGGGTCTTACCAACCCATTAACAGTTTGTTCCAACGCAGAATGAAGATCTCAAATTCTCAATACACTCGGCAAAGCCCAAAAACACAGCAGAAGTGTCCTTGAGTTCACATCTACGCCGGGCCTAGATCCACAAGAATCAAAGAGGAAATGGTTTTAAAAGCCCATTGTTCAAGCCCAAAACCAACAGCCACCACAAACAAGCTTTTTGAGCCTAAATGTCTAATATTTCGTTTTACTTTTATTCTCGATCTCCACATCTACTTGTGTTTTTCTTTTTCTTTTTTCTTGCTCTTTTTAAAATTGTCTCCAAAATTTTGTGATTCATGATTTGAATCTCAATTTAACAACTTCCACATACCCATTTCTTATCTTGATATCATAATGATTTCCACTCCATGCATCAAATTATAAATATGCTAACCATGATTCCTTTTCTTTGAAAATCTTGCAAAAATCAACTATCTTAGTGAATCAACTAGGCCTAGCCTAGTTGGCCACCGTGAATTTCCTAAGAGTTCAATTGTAACACCCCAAAGAATGCCACGTACCATAACTACATTATTATCTACCTTGAATGTCTTAAGTCAAGTTAGCTATTTCATTATACAGAATACTTAAAGTAAAGCATACAAACGAGTAGTTAGAAAGCCTTGAGGAAGAGTGCCTAAGAAAAAGGAACTTAAGGACGTTTATGATTGATGAAAAACCTAAGACAATTTGGAAGTAGAACCTTGGTGTGAAAGTTAATAAAAGACATAGTGTTAGGGGGTTGATTTTGAAGTGAATATTGAATGTTTAGATCACCTAAGAAACCTTAAGTGAGGAGGTTAATGATCCTAATCTAATGAATAGAGTTTAATGAACATTTCATTGGAAATTAAGCAGGATTAGCATTAATTAAGATTAAGTAAGCTTAATCAAGATTAATTAAGCTAAACCTCAATTAATTAGAGACTAAACTTGATTAATTATATTATAACTAAGATTGATTAATTACATTAATGGTGGAGATTAAGGAATTGATGAAGCAAGCAAATAGGTGATGCATACATACACCACCCTTTTGTCCCATACCTGCTTTGTCTTCCAATCCTTTTGTCCCTAACCTAAACCAATGATATAAAACAAGAAAAGAATCAGATTTTACTAGAAAGAAAGAGAAGAACGTAGAAGAGAGGAGAAGGAAGAGGAGAAGAAAGAGAGGAGGAGAACTTGCAGAAATCTCCCCAGAACTCCATCTTTGATCACTTAAGTTAAGCTTTGAACCCTCATCTTCCATGGAAACCCCTCCTATCACTTAAGATTGAAAGTTAGAATCAATGAGTTAGTAAGAAAGTTATGAAGAAAAAAATGAAGAAAATGAAATAAGATGAAAGAGGAAGCAAGATAACTTGAATTCTTGTTATTTCAACCCTTGTTTTGATTACCCTCACCTTGTTCAAGCTTTGTCCTCAAGATTTTACATGTTTTCCTAGTATTTTCCAAGTTTAATTTAATGTTTTGAAAGGAAGAGAAAGAAGGGTTTGAGTAAGAAATAGAGAAAAGAACAAGCTAGAGGTTGTAAGTCTTGTTGTGTTAAGTCATTTTTATGATTCTTAATTTGTTTAAAGCTTTACTCTCATCAATTCATGTAAACTTCAAGAGTTTTGCAAGCCTAAAACCATGTTTTCAAACCTTGGTAAGAAACGGAGAAAGACAAGTAAAGGGTGAGAAATTCAGACTCAAACAAGAAACTCTCGAACAACCACCTCCGCACGTGCAACACTTATCCCACACGTGCAGCCAGACCTTCCAGACTTCATTTTGCACACTGCACCTGCAGCACATGCGGCACCCTGTTTCAGCCCAACTTCATGTCCTTTAAACCTTGAATGCGTAGGACCTTTCAATGCATGCTTTTGACACTTGTTCTTGGAATGTTCATCTCCATGTAAATGTTTGCAAGTCAAGCTTTGTGTTGTCATGCTCAAGTTAAGCTATGTTTAAACTATGATTTTATGCTATATTGTATAAAGCTCATCGGTGTTCATTTATTCACCGCTTTACTATATTACTATTCATTGGATGATCGCTCACTGTGTTACATGGACTCTTCTATTTCCCCGACAGTACCCCTTTCCACCGAATATGACATAGGTAAAGATGTGGAATATGTGTCCGACATTCATACTCAATTTAGACACTCAGATCCTTTAATTTGTGACAATACATGAAGAAAAAGAAACTCACATTTGTTAGTAAAGCAATATTTTTAGCCTCTCATATGATTTAGATATAGAAATTTCATATTTTTCCTAAATCCTATTTAATTTTTAGTATAATTCCACATAATTTACAGCATCTCATCCGAGAATATTATATAATATGCAATATATATGTGCATATGACGTGTCTTCGGACCCATATCCAATTATGGCTATGTATCCCAAGATTATAAGATTTAAATTTATGAAGATCTGATACTTGGATACACACTCACACCCGATACTCATACCGAAGTCCATGTAATATAGATGGCTCACCCCTCTCCGTTATATATATGTAGGTGACGAAGAGCACGGTTACAAAGAAAAGTTTGCTTAGAAACTAATCTTGTATATTCGTGTTGGTTTTGTAAGGTTTTGTCGTAAGTGATGTACTTTACTTTTTGTTGTATGGATCATGTAATAATACAAGACGATAATCCAAGAGAAATGTATGCTCCCATTTCGTATATTATGCATTGCTTTGAATGGATGTTTCAAATGGACTCAATATAAGAAAATAATGGTTTCCGCACTTGTAAATGAAAAATTTGTCCCAATTATCCTAAGAGTCCAACTTGTTTTGAAAGTTAGGCCTTTGGTAGTCTACGACTACTGGCCGATCACTACACTATCTTGTTTGGAGCGGAATGGGGTTGTGACAAAGTGATATCAAATCACAACTTCATTCACATGCACTTTATCCTTCAAAGCAATAGTTCTTTTAGAATGAAACCTTAGGAATGCATTCAAGCCATGTATGTGTTTGTATCTAGACGTATTTAGGTATATGTGCATAGCTACAGTGTGGAGATATAAAAGTTTGGGAGCGTCATAAAGTCTTGATCTCGCAAGAAAATCATAAGGTTTTATTGGAGTTTGTTGTTTGAAAGTATGCTAGACTGTGGAATATTAAATTGACAATGATGTTGTTCGTTAGTTACGTGAAATTATGGAAATAGTGAAATATGATGAGTTATAGCTTGAGATGTTGAGCGTTAGAGACCCGTACCCTTGTTGAATGACCTTGAAAGTCCGATTGGAATTGTGTTCGTCCGGTGTAGCTTTGAATCAAAAGTTTTGGGTAAATTCCTTGGGAATGAATAGGTTGTCCTATTAAAACATTTGTGTATCTATATGTTTAGTGCAATCTTCTAATTGTGTAAAAGTATATGTGTTATGTGTTATGTTCTAAACTAGATATCATTTGGTATACGCATATATTATCCTAAGCGTCATTAATCCCCTTTTCTTGTGTCTTTAGAAAACATGGTGAAAAGCAGAAATGTAAAGAGGTTGAATCTTTGTCAAAGCGAGTAGAGAAGGTGGAGGAAATGCTTGAGAGTGTAATGAAGATTATGCAACAATATTATGATAAACCGCAGAATTAAAAGAAGTCAAGCATTAAGTTAAAGAAGGAACCAAGGGACACATCTCTAAGAAATTTGTGGCGGAGAGTCATAAGAAATTCTGGACAGCATAGTAGATTAATTCCAATTTGTTCAACATGTCATAAGCATCATTGGGGACTGCGTCATCAAATTTCCGGAGCATGTTTCGATTGTGGAAAAATGGGACATCAAGTGAGGAATTGTCCTAAAGGTTAAGGAAATCTCCTTGTTCTTATGTCAAGCCACTTAGTTTAAAGGTTAGTGCCTAGCCTACTTGTAAAGTAAAGAGATCATTCTCTAAGTATATGTATAAAGTATTGATCTAGTCGTGCCATACATGCCTTTTTATTTGTACACATCTTATTTAATTTTTTATAAACTTAGAATCTATCCACTTGTTTGTTTGAAACTTAGCCTTTTTGCATGATAACTAGATTTCCCAAACTCTTAGAATGTATATTACTAAAACTTAAGCTAATTGAAAGATTGAACAATTCAGAGCAATTAAAACTAGTCTACTTAGCATTAGTTTGAGAATGAACCAGTTTCTTTTGACCATATCATTCTTAAATATCCTTTTGGAACATTAAAAGAGAGAAATTTTACTTTACAATAGTCCATAACCTATGATGTATTGGCCTCATAAGAAGGAGAGATATAACAATTCCCTGATCTCGTTCTAATCACACAAATGAATCAATCGTTAAGTGCACAATGGTGTTATGTTCCATTGATAAAATTTATAGATTCAGATTTAGCATACTCGTTGTAAAGAAACTCACTTTTAGTGTTATCATCATGACTTAGTGCTTGATAAGAATCAACAAATTGAACTTCTTCAAAATTACAATTGTTAATACATTAAGAGAACTTCCTTAGCATCTAACAATCATAATTAAATAACCTATAATGAATTGAAAAGTCAAGAATTTAACTTTATGATCAATTACGTGAAATTTCTATCATTGTTTAGTAACTACCAATCATAATGGACGGAATAAGATAACCGAGAAACGAAATGGAGAGTAAAGCAATGTGCCCTTAAAATACTTAAAACATAATGAAAGATTTTTGAGAAAAGTAATCCCACTGCATTTTAGGTTATGTAAAAGAAGAGATAATGTAGTTCCCTATGTAGTATTTTTTCATTGAGATCCTAGATTTTTAACACATGTAGCACCTTTGCTGAGGAAAATTCTTTTGAATACTACAATTAATGACTTGTTAGTATTTATTAGACCAAAAACGGAACGGAGGCGATTATAGCATTAAAAGAACATCATAGAAAACTAAGAATCTTAATCAAATAACTTGTAGAGAATTAAAAATATCCGAAAACTTGGCCTTAAGATTGATTAGATAACATTTCTAACGGCATTTGATAACTAACAAGTGTAAATAGAATAGAATGAAATAACACAGTAACGAAACCAAAAAGAAGAAATGCATTCTTAATGTACTTAAATCTAATCAAAGAACTGATAAAAATTAACCTTAGAAGAAATTCATAATCTTACACTCCCTATTCATTCTATCGATAACAAAAGAATCATAAATCTTGAAAATGGATTCTAACGACTAAGAGCAAGAGCAATGTGGTCTTAAAATACCTATGTAAATATAATGTGGACCAGGAAAAAGTAGAAGTACTTTAGCAACCCTTCGACTTAGAACGGAAACAAAAACAGATAATGTAAGTTTTATAATGAAGTCAACTCACCTATTTAGAAATGATAGCATGGATTAGCTACGAATGACTAGTGCAATTAAAAGAGGGAAGAATGTGAACCAAGGAGGAATAATTAATTTCAATTATCTTTAACAAGAATAGTCACCTAATACCAATAAAGTTTGTTAAAACAATAGTTCTTAATTAAACAATAGCATACGATCTCATGAAGCTTTAGCTAAGAAAACGAATTAGCAGTTAAAAGAGATTTGAAAAAGAAAAAAAAAATGAAAATCCAACCACAAAGCAATAAACATGAATTATTAAGAAAAATCTGATATACAAGATAAATATCAGGTTTCAAACCAAGAAGAATATTTAAATGATAATTTATCAGAGTGCATAGTGAAAACTAATAACTTATCCATACGAATGAATTTCGAGGACGAAATTTTTAAAGACGGGAATATTGTAACACTCCAAAGAATGCCATGTACCACAACTACATTATTATCTACCCTTGAATGTCTTAAGTCAAGTTAGCTATCTCATTATACAAAATACGTAAAGTAAAGCATAGAAATGAGTAGTTAGAAAGCCTTGAGGAAGAGTGCCTAAGAAGAAGGATGTTTATGATTGATAAAAAATCTAAGACAATTTAGAAGTAGAACCTTGGTGTGAAAGTTAATAAAAGACATAGAGGTAGGGGATTGATTTTGAAGTGAATACTGAATGTTTAGATCACCTAAGAAACCTTAAATGAGGAGCTTAATGATCCTAATCTAATGAATAGAGTTTAATGAACATTTCATTGGAAAGTAAGCGGGATTAGCATTAATTAAGATTAAGTAAGCTCAATCAAGATTAATTAAGCTAAACCAAATTAAGATAAACCTCGATTAATTAGAGACTAACATTGATTAATCATAACTATGATTAATTAAACTAATGGTGGAGATTAAGGAATTGATGAAGCAAGCAAATAGGTGATGCATACATACGCCAACCTTTTGTCCCATACCTTCTTCGTCTTCCAATCCTTTTGTCCAGATCAGCCTTAGCCCCAGTTCTCTGTTTGTGTAAGACCACCTTTACATGCTCTCTCTGTCAAGTGATCCACTTTCACTTTTGTGCAGCAAAATGGATCTTACCAACCCATTAACAGTGTGTTCCAACTCAGAATGAAGATCTCAATTCACTTAGCAAAGCCCAAAAATACAGCAGAAGTGTCCTTGAGTCCACATCTACATCGCGCCTAGATCCACAAGAATGAAAGAGGAAACAGTGGTAAAAGCCCATTGTTCAAGCCCAAACCCAACAACCCCCACAAACAAGCTTTTTGTGCCTAAATGTCTAATTCTTCATTTTACTTTTATTCTCAATCTGCACATGTCTACTTGTGTTTTTCTTTTTCATTTTTTTCACTCTCTTTTTAAAATTGTCTCCAAAATTTTATGATTCAGTATTTGAATCTCAATTTAACAACTTCCACACACCCATTGCTTAGCTTGATATCAAAATGATTTCCACTCCATGCATCAAATTATAAATATGCTAACCCTGATTCCTTTTCTTTGAAAATCTTGCAAAATCAACTATCTCTGTGCCTGGCAAATCCTTCAAAACATTGTTTTGTTGCTATGACTTTAGAGCAAGAACTGCATATTCATTTCACAATAATAAAATAAAGAGAATAAATTGTAGGCAGTTAAATTCTTAATACATGACTACTGAAGAGCATGAATATGAAAAAAAACCGTGTCTATTGTGGGGAAGACAAACTTACTCCAGAAACAATAATAGAAAAAATGACATGGGAACAGAACAGTTACAATTGAAACAATTGGTTTTTGTAGCACATGGTCCAATCCGAATCCCCCGAAGCAACCAAGCCGCCACCTTCAATGGATATGGACTCTGCACAAGAGTTGGATCTTTGCATATGAAATTTTTGTTTTCCTTCTTCATCAGACTTTGATTCATGGCCAACAACTTCAGGAAATCCAAAACCATTGCTAAGAATTGCAGCATTCCCTACATCAATATTCGAGTCATGACTTGGACTGGATTTGGACTTGCCATTACTGCATTCCCTGACATCATTCTCATCATCTGACAAGCATCTGCAGCAATTAAACTCATCCATCTCAAAAATCCGACTCGCCAATCCGTCCCTCCATGATATCCTCATCTGTGAGCATGATATATCCTCTAAAGTAGAAATAGAAATGCAAGAAGCTTGATTATCCCTAGTGTTTGGGAGTTGGGGAAAGTCAATGGAATTGGAAGGTGAAATCAAGTCAGAGAACTGAAAACTTAATCCTAGTGGATCCCAGATTGATGTCTGGTTCTTAGGAGATAAACTTGCAATCCGAGCCACCGAATCCATTTCAGATCCAAAATCATTTATTTGATGATCATGTTCATTGAACCAAAACAGTCCAACACGCCTATCTGAGCTCAAATCGGATTGTGGGGTTTGAATAACATTCCCACTGCCCAAAGATTCAATGGAGAATGGTGAATTTTCCCCAGAGAGATCATATCTAGGTCTCCTCTGCTCTTGTGAGATAATCGCCTCAGAAGTAGGTGTAGCATGAGGAGAAACTGACAATGCAGGATTTCCACTGGGAGAAAGCAAAGTAACCCTAGTTTTTCTCTTACTACAACTTCCACTAGTAGTGCTACTACTATAAAAAATGTTGCATAAGTCAGAAGAAATTCTGTGACCCGACGACAAAGGTGAAGAGGCGCAGGCAAAGCCTAGTGATTTTCGAAGAGGTTGCAACCCATTTTCAGTATCAGTCTCGTGATCCCCATCCTCGTCGTGACAGGGAGATAAGAGCCAATGAACTGAAGCTTCAACGGGCAGAGGGGCCAAAGACATCCCCGATTTACTAGGAATTTCAATGTCATCATCAGCATTGTTGGAAATGTTTGATTTACCAAAATTAGAATCATTTTTTCCTACAGTAAGTAAACCTCTAGCTCTGCATTTTCTCCTATCAGTCACCCCAGAAATAATATGTCCAGCGCCGTAACAAGCAGGCGTTGCTGAAGACACCAGCAAAGATGACCCACATTGAATCTCTGGGGAGACTGAGGCCTCAACAGGAGGAGTTGTAGTAGTAGTAGTAGTAGCTGCTATTGCTATTGCAGTGGAATCATCTTTCATAAGCTTATCATCAAATTCAAATTCAAACTCAAATTCACATCCCAAAACAGGAACACATGCTGCTAATTTACAAACAGGAGTAGTTGTAGAAGTATTTTCAACAAAACCAGTGGTGAAATCAGATAAAGTTAGGGGATTGGAGGTCTCACCTGATTCATCAACATCATCAACCATCATCTTCTTCTTGTGCTTGAAATCGTTAACAGACACAGCAGATGTCGAATCAACTGAGCGACAACAACCAGAGGTCAAGCCCCAACCAGTAGAGGGTTTTGGTTTTAGGGCAATTTTGGAATTGGGTTTCTTCCCAGACCGCTGCAACTGAGGGTTTTTCTTTGGTTTCTGGTTTTGTGAAGTAGTGGGTTCTGCTTTCTCTGTTTCTCTCATTCTCTGTAATGTAATGCTGCTCTCACTGCTCACGTCTCTTCCCTTTGATTCGGCCCCACGACGACTCGCCATCAACATTTCACATCAGATCTCTCACCCATTTTCAATTGGCATTGAGATTTTGGGATCAGAAAATATGGCTTTGCTTCCAAGCTTAAACAGCTAAACAAAATGCAATTTACAATTCATAATGCATTGCCGTTATGGATCCGGAAGTTCTCTATAGAGATAGTCTGCAACTTTACGGTGTTATTGGGTTGGGTCTCTGAGCTTACCATGGAACCATATCAATAATTCAAACGTTCAATTTATAGAATACATTGTGTACTTTATTTTTACAAAAAAAAAAAAATCACTTTGTTTTGATATAGTAATTACTTCATCAGATGACTTTTGTATTAATGGTAAATATAATTTTTAAAATAAACTATTAACATAATTGTTATCTAATTAAGTAACTATCGATATTCGATTAATATGATTTTTTAAAAGAATTAAATAATTGATAAATTATATACGTTGAATGATTTGGATTATCAATACGAGTTACATAATAATAGCCAACATAATCAATGAAAATAAATTTTTTTTAAAAATAAATTGAGCAGTATTGTTGTGGGGCCGTATCACCATTGATTCAAAATAATATAACAAATATTTTAGGATAAATTACACTAACATCTTTTGAGATTTATGTTTATTACAGTTTCCTCCTCACATTTGGGAAATTATACTGACTCTCCTTGTCTGTGTAGTTATGTGACGGTGTTAACTTTTAGGGTGATTCTACTTACATCACTCTTTTCCCTCCTTACACCCTTCATCTCATTACACCAGTTAAAAAAAAAATTAAATTCTCATTACACCTAATTTATTACTAAAACAAACCCTATGATAAAAAATTCTTCAAAACCCATCTCTTTACACCCATGCTGTGTGCTGGGCCTGTTCGGTAATACAATGCTAAACAATTTGAATTACTCTAGTTCCATGTTACCGGATAAAATTTTTTTTCCCAGTATTATGTTACCATTCAATTGGATAATTTCAGTTTACTTCCCAACAAAATTAGTAGAGTCCACATTGAAGTGCCTGTTTGGTCACACAATGCGAAACAATTTACAAAAATTCAATGCTATAACGCTGGAATAAATTGTTTGTTCCAGTCTTTTGTTGCTATACATTTACAAAGCCACTTCCTCCCAAATAATATAGTAATAATTTGTGCTGGGCCTGTTCGATAATAAAATGCTAGTGAATTTTAATTACTCCAATGTTATGTTGCTAGAAAAAATAGATTTGTCTAGTGTTATTTTGCTATGCATTTACAGAGCCACTTTGTTCCAAATAATAATTTGGGTTTGTTCGGTAATTTGATACCAAACTTATATTTTTTGTTATGTAATTTACCGGTGTTAGGTTTTGTTTCTTGGCAATCCCGTTTGACAAAACTCCTTTGAGTTGTAATTTTATTCGCATTTTTTATTTTAGTGAGGCTATGAGTTGTTAGATGCGAATCCAACCCGAATCAAGCCTTTTAGAGAAGTTTGTGATACTAATACTTTCAAGATTGCCACTTCGCTGATTATGACGGGGATCGAGCTGCCCGGTCAGCTCGCAGGGGTCGAGGGGGCAGCGCCCCTTGGCGGGCCCGGGGCAGCGCCACGGCGGGGGGGGGGGGGGC